TCGGTCCTCGAGAAGTCGAGGAGGAGGAGGAGGAGGAGCAGGAGGAATGGGAGGAGCAGGAGGGATGGGAGGAGGAGGAGGAGGAGGAGGAGGAGGAGGACGAGGAGGAGCAGGACGAGGAGGAGCAGGAGAAGCTGATCCGCGCGGCGGGACCCGGATCCTGTCTGCATTCTGCTCCTCGCCCTCCCTCTCGCGGTCACTCCCCTCTCTCGCCCTTCTGGATCCCACTGGGCCCTTCGCTGTCCTTCCCTCTCTCGGTCCTTCTCGCCAGATCGCCCTGGCGTCGTGACGGACATGAACGCGGGAGGTTCCCTGCCCTCTTCGGCCTCTCGTATGTGGCGCCGGGCCCCGGGTGCGATTCAAGAGAACGTCTCGGGACGAGAAGCCGGTCCAGGGCAACGGGTCCAGACCCTCAGGGATCCATGCTGCGAAACAGTCATGACGGCGGGGGTCTGGGTCTCTCTTTCTCTGTCTCTGTCTCTGCTTGCCTTCTTGTTCTCTCCCGCTTTCCCTCTTCCTTGCCCCCTGAGCAGCCCTCGTGCCACCAAAAGGAGCGTTGAAGAGGAGGCAAAGCGGTTCTTATGGCCTCGGCGGAGCCTCGGCAACGATCAAATGTTCTCTGGCAAGAAGACCCCAGGAGCGGCCCAGAAGCCAGAGCCCCTCCCTAGCCCGAAGGGTTCCTTCACTCGGCGTCTTCGCTGTGCTCTTAGGTCGGGCATGTCCCCCTACAGGCGGATTTGGGACGAAAAAAGAAAAATAGTCACAACATTCTCAAGCACAGGAGAAAACACAAATAGTCAAAACATCGTCCCCTGACTATTTTTAGACTTTTTTTGAGCATTCCTCCTGTAGAGGGACACGCACGACTTAACAGTACTTCCTCCCACCGCCCTACGGTAGGGGCTCGACCACAAGAAACCTTCCACAAGAAAACCAGCCCTGGAACCCCAGGACGTCCACTGGAATTTCTGGTGTGGGGGCGTCACGCTTGCCATCGCTGAGCCATCGAGACCCAAGAAGCCCAGCGCACACTGGAGGCAGGCAGGGTGCTTCTTGGCATGGGTTTCTGCTGTACTCCCTCCCCACGCCCTCTATCCCTCTCTTCCCACTACTTCCTCTTTGCTCACCCCCCCGTCCGCCTCCAGCTTGGAGCCCCCCTCCCCTCTTCCATAGTGCAGAGCGCTCCCTTCACCCTCTCGTGCTGACCTCCCCTCCTCTCTTCTTGTATCTCCCGTCCCCCTCCCATCCCCCTCCCCTCCATCCTCCTCCTCCCCCCCCCCCATACCCACCCCTCCCCAATCCCTCCCCCTCCTCTCCATCCTCGCCGCCGCCCCCTGTATTCTAGAAACTCGTTCCCACCAAGAGGAGAGATAGAGAGAGAGAGAGAGAAAGAGGGAGAGAAAGGGGGAAAGGGAGGGAGAGAGAGGTAAAAAGAGAGACAGAGGGAGAGAGGGAAAGAGAAATGGAGAGCTGCGATGGAGGGACAGAGAGGGCGCGCACACAGGCTAAATGCCTCCGCATGCACCACGATCAAATAATGCACACCACACGGGAAGCCCCATCGACATGCCCGACACGTCGACAGGCGAACTGTCTGGCATCCGCATGGGGGTGGAGTCAATTCTGAGCAGAACTCCGCAAGCAGAAAGGGACATGCTATATATGTGCAACACCACGCCGGCGCGAACGGCTATGCGTGATCCAGCGGCAGGGAGGCAAAGACCGCGAGTAGGCGTGGAGACAATGAGCAATATGAGCAGCAATGGCCAACTCAAAAGTGGTCATCGAAACAACAGTAATAAAAGCAGCAGAATTACGGCCATTAGCGCCAGCAGCATACGTGGCACACCACATGGACAGGTGCTCATGTTTGGTCTCCACGGGATCAGGAGCAGGGACACTAGAAGTGGTAGTTGTCGCAGAACTCGGGGTCGCCATGGGGTGCATACAACAATACCTATCTTAGTAGTGGTGTTGTTAGAAGTAGTCGTGCTCATGTTCGTAGCCGTGATCAAAAAGTAGTAGTAGTAGTAATAATAGTAATAGTAGTAGTAGTAGTAGTAGTAGTAGTAGTAGTAGTAGTAGTAGTAGTAGTAGTAGTAGGAGTAGTAGTAGTAGTCGTCATAGTAGTAGTAGTAGTAGTAGTAGTAGTAGTAGTACTAGTAGTAGTAGTAGTAGAAGAAGAAGAAGAAGAAGTAGTAGTAGTAGTAGTAGTAGTAGTAGTCGTAGTAGTATCAGTAGTAATAGTAGCAGGAGTAGTAGTAGTAGTAGTAGTAGTAGTAGTAGTAGTCGTAGTTGTAGTAGTATCAGTAGTAATAGTAGCAGGAGTAGTAGTAGTAGTAGTAGTAGTAGTAGTAGTAATAGATTAGTAGTAGTAGTAGTAGTCGTAGTAGTAGTAGTAGTAGTAGTAGTCGTAGTAGTAGTAATAGTACTAGTAGTAGTCGTGGTGGTAGTAGTAGTAACAGTAGCAGTCGTAGTAGTAGTAGTAGTAGTAGTAGAA